AAGTGATCCGCAGCTCTCCTGGACCGAGCCCGCCCCACGCTGCGCGCCGGGCGTGCCCGCGGTTGATGCGTGGAGGGCCCGCGGCCAGAGCGCGGGCGGTCCACGAGCCCGCCCCTGGATTCGAGGCCCACTAAGGGGTCGGTCTCAGCGGGAAGGAGGCCGCACCAATGGCGGCGGAGGACTCAGATGGGGGCTCCCTGGGTCGTCAACCCAGAGCCACCGCGGGCCGCCCAGAGGGGCGGCAAGCGCCGAACCTGTGGTTCGGGACACCCCTGCCGCCGGCAGCCACTTTTTCGCGATCTGGGCCGCCCCAGGGTCGAGCGAGGACCTCGTCGGGGTGCACGGGGGAGCCGCGGTCGCGTGGCAGGCGATCGTCGCCATGTTCGGAGACGGCAAGGACACAAGCGGACGGGATCGCATGCGGGACTATTCATACACCGTCTAGGTCTTCGACTGGGCCAGGGCACAATGACGTCGTTGCCATTTGGGGCGCTGGAGCAGACCGGGGGCGTCCTGCTCCGCTCGTGGCTGCTCCAGTTGTCTGTAGCCGGGGCCCGTGTCACGGGCACGGCAGCGAGGTGCGAAGCCCGGGTCGACGGCGCCAAGTTCGTGCGGTTCGATGGCGGCCATCGCCACCGATGCCCTTGCGCAGGACGACCTCAGCGATTTCGAGTTGGAGTAGAAACTCATTGTCGTGGTGCCTGCCGTCTGCCTCGCTTGCGTCGGCGACGCTGCGGTCGGCCCTGGGTGAGAAGATGACAGCGTACGTGGCCTGCGTGGAGGTCTCGCCGGCGTTCCTGGCGCGACTCACCGAGAGCTGCGTGGAGGACGAGGGGATTGAGTTCTTCCACTCAGCTGGCGGGGCTGCGCAGCGAGACCTGCTCGAGCTGGTCGACGATCTCGCCCCGCAGCCAGACGATTGGAACTTCGGGATCCTGCTCTGACCCGTCGCGTTCCCCGACCCCGCCGCCCGGGCCAACCCGGGGCGCATCGGCATTCGGTTTTCCGCGTGCGGGCAGATCCATGGGGCGAGGTACCTCGCCGCCGACGAGCACGATGGCGAGGGCGCTGGAGACGACAGGTCGACGCAAGTGGGCTCGCTGCGGGGGGGTGCGGGCGCGGCGCCAGCGCCGTGCCCCAATAAAGGTGTCGGGGCGGAGGGGAGGTGCTGGCTGGTGGAGGAGGGGGAGGTGGGCTGGCTGCGGAGGAGGACCGAGGGCGGCCTGGTGCCATGCCAGAGTACAAAGGGGCCAGGGCGGAGGGTGCGCGCTGGCGACTGCGAAGAAGTGCGGAGGGAATCGGTGCCGCGCAGACAAGTAGTGGTCGGAGCTCTCGACACACTGTGTAAGATAACGCTGATGGCTACGAGGAGGAATATGCGGAGGAGGGGGAGGAGGAAAAGGAGGAGAAGGATGTCTGGTCAAGTCAAGTAGTTCTCGATTTCTTGACGTTTCGTGTATCCCCACCAGCCCAGCCAGAAACGATGCCCATGAGAGTTGACGGGGGAGAGAGGAAGACACGCATAGTCAAATAGCGATGGAGGCTTGGGAGGCTTCGTGGCAATTTCGAGCCGTCTTGCAGCGGTCTCGGGGCCGCTTGGGGCATCTTGGGGCCATCTAGAGCCAGCTTGGACTATCTGGAGCCATCTTGGAGATCATCTTGGGCTCTCTGAGGCCGCTTAGGGGCCGTTCGGGGGCCTCTTGGAGGCCTTTTTCGGGGGCCTTTTGGAGCCTTCTTGGGGCCTTTTGGGGCGCTAGTGGCACCCTCATGGGGGCCTCTTGGGGGCCCTGGAGGGCCTCTTGGGACCATCTTGGGGGCGGCTGGTCACAAGAGGGGGGGGTACTCGATGTTCGTCCCCCTGTCGGGGGCGTGAGGGGTGTCAGAAGTTGGCCTTCCCAGGTGCCGAAAAAGGGGCCTCCGACACCTCGCGGCCCCTCTCCAAAAAAACCTCAGGGAGGGGAGGGGGAGGGTTCCCCCCCCCGAAGGGAAGAGAGGTCGTGGAAGAGGACTGAGACCCTTAGACCACCTGTCGCCCAAAGGGCTGGTGGGATCCATTAATTGTTGGTACGTTTTTGAAGGATTTGGGCATCTCGGCGGTATCCTCGTGAGGCTCCGTGGCCACCTCGAGCATTTTTGGAGCGATCCTGGGGCCTTTTGGGGCATCTTGGGGCCATCTAGAGCCAGCTTGGGCTATCTTGAGCCGTCTTGGAGATCATGGGTTTTCTGAGGCCGCTCAGGGGCCATTCGGGGGCCTCTTGGAGGCCTCTCGGGGGCTTCTTGGAGCCCTCTTGGGGCCTCTTGGGGCGCTAGTGGCACCCTCTTGGGGGCCTCTTGGGGGCCCTGGAGGGCCTCTCGGGGCCATCTCGGGGCCATCTCGGAGGCGATCGGTCAAAAGAGGGGGGGGTGCTCGATTTGGGTCCCTCCTCGGGGGGCGCGATCCTCGTGAGGGGCCGCGAAGAGAAAACATAACCTCCTTAGCTGTCGCCCGCAAGGCTGTTGGGATTCTGTTCGGTGAGAAAACAACCAGGGGGGTGAATCGTCGCAGCTTCAGCCGAGGAGGACGAGGGGGACGAGGAGGAGAGGATGAGCGGATGATGATGCTGATGATGCTGCTGATGACGATGGTGATGCTGACTGTGATGCTGATGGTGGTGATGATGATGATGATGGTGGTGGTGGTGGTGGTGGTGCTGATGCTGAGCATGCTGATGACGAGGATGATGATGTTGATGACGATGATGAGGGTGATGGTGGTGATGATGATGACGATGGTGATGCTGATGGTGGTGATGACGTTGATGATGCGGATGCTGATGTTGATGAGGTCGATGATGTTGTTCATGGTGATGAGGATGATGATGATGCTGATGATGATGGTGCTGATGGTGATGATGATGATGATGACGACGACGATGATGATGATGAGGAGGAGGATGATGCTGATGATGATGGTGAGGAGGAGGAGGGGGAGGAGGAGGAGGAGGAGGAGGGGGAATACATGGAGCAGCAACGCCATGATGAGGCCGTGGAGGGAAGGGCGGAGAGAGGGGGGAGGACTGCAGCAGGGTGCCCGTTGGCCAATCGGCCCTGCAGTGTGCACAGGCTTGTGTGTAATGCTTGTAGTGGCACAGGCCTGTGGTGGCGGAGGCAGGCCGGCGGCGGCGTGCATGCGCTTGCCGGACTGGCGCGCCAGGCGCGCGGAGCGCGACGGCGCGCGCGTGCGATGTGCCTTGGAGGCTGCGCGCGTGCAGCGGCATATGGTGCACGCGAGCCCGTGCTGTGTGGCTGCGCCCGCCTGCGAAAGGCCCGCGCGGGCCAGTGGTGGTGCGCGCAGGCCTTGCGGTGCACGTGGGCCACGAGTTGCGCGGGCGCCGTGTGCGTCTGGTCTGGACATGCTCGCTCAGATGGTATGCGCCTTAGTGTACGCAGGTCTTGCGGTGCGCACTCTTCCTCTTTTTCGCTTTCGTTTTCAGTTTTCTCCTTTTTCGCCCTCTCCTCCCTGTCCCCCCTCTCATGTGAGAATTCGTGCGGCGCAAGAGACGCGTGAGGTGGTCCAGCCTGACAGCCCCGCATGCCCGAGTTCGACCCCGACCTCGGTAAGCGCTTGGCAGAGATCGGGGGACTGCTGCGAAACGGGGTTGGCACAGTTGAGAAGCAGGCAGCGCCGCCATGGTCCAATGTCGTCAAGTCCGATCCGTGGCGGCTGAGCCAAGTCCAGATGATAAGGGAGGAAGATGACAAACATACCAACCTTGCTGCTTAGGCGGTGTGCTTCGAGACCTCGCTCAAATTTTTTGCCCAAGGAGAGCCAGGCCAACATGAGGGGCTACCGCCAACTGCTGTGGCATACCGCCGAGCCACGCAGGACCTTCACAAGGCCGAGCCGACGGCTGAACGACATGGGATCATCTCCAGGGGTTACAGGAACGTACCGCGGACAAGAAAGGTACGATGACACGACAGAGGCAGGGGTAGCAGCTCTGCAGGAGGAGAACCGGAAGCATGCCAATATTGTTGGAAGAGGCGACGTTCCTCAAGCTCCAGCCACGGCTACTTCGGTGTCGTCAGCATCAGACGAGATCGACGACCCCGAGCTCAATAATTGCATTGTCACAAGCGTCTGGGCCAAGTTGCGAAAGCTGCTTTCGGCTAAGAAGCTGGCACTCACTACGGCGACAAGCCTGGGAAGGGCAGATCCTGCTCAGACGACCAGGACCTCGGGCGAGACTTTGATGACATGGAGCCAGCCGAGCATCAGGTTCGGCACGGGCTTGGAAACAACGACACAGCCGGTTCCGAGGAGTTCGCCGCCAAGGTTCGCGAGCTCGGGAAGAAATCGCCACATGGGTGATGACGACATGTCGTTTGGCATCAGGCTGATCGGTGGCGAAATCCGCAGTCCAACCCCGGCTGCTGCTTAAGGTGCCTAAACTGAAGAAAATGGCGCAGGGGACACCGGCGCACATCGATCTGAATCAAGACGCGGGCTTCACCGAAGGCCGCCCTGACGCGGTACACAGTTGGGCTGCCAACGAAGGGTGGAGAATATCGCCGATGCCCACGCGTGCCGCGACGGGAGTCGTACCTTCAGGCGGAGCTGGTGTCCCTCGCGGTCCGACCTTGGTCTCCGTCGCCCTCCTGGCGGTCAGCAGTTGTTTTGTCGCAGGTTGCAGCAGGTTCTGATTGATATTCCAGGATGGCCAAGCCTGACCGTCCTCAGCGTATGCCTGGCCGCATTCTCCAGCGCGGGCGGCAAAAGTGTTAAAATGCTGGCCACATCTAGAATGATCGTGTCTATTACCAGTGCCCCGTGCGTCATCTGCGGTGTTTGAAATCCGACTGGGCACGATCTCGAGGAGTCATCGTCTTCTAGTTTGTCTTTGGCAGCGTTGGCGATCCCAGATCAAGCTGTATTCCGAAGGGGGACAAGTTGCTCTGTAATCGAACATTTAGGCCTCAATGATGCGGCTTTGGGGGGTGGGGAGTATCATGGCGTGCAGGTGCAGTCGAGTTGGCTCGCGAAGGCTCACCGGCCAGTGTTATGCAAACTTTTCGACGCCGGCTACTCCATCCCACGCTTCAGCTATTCGGTCACGGCGGAGCTGCCATCGAAGCTCTATCTGGGCTCGCTCACGAAGCCGACCAATTGGGTCATCCACGCTGCGCTTGCTGATGTGGCCGCGCAGTGGCTCATGACCCATCCAGTGATCCAGCAGTGGTGCGGGTGTTTCTTTTCAGGTTCCATGGCGAGTTTGCATTTCCAGTGGCGGATTGTGTCGCCGGGAATGTTGGCGTAGATCTAGAGAGCGTCGCGCAACGGCACTCTGGAGCCACAGAGGGTGAATGTCGAGTGTCAGAAACATCGAGGGAGTGACGTTGAGGCAGCATGGCAAGGGTGGCAGTGGATGAGGGGGGGGGGCGGCGCTCGTCGAAACTCTGAGAATGCGTGCGAAACCCGATGTGATTGCAAACTGCTCGGAGGGGACTGCGCAGTTCCTGAATGCCATCCACTCTGGTGCTGGTCTCGATCGGCGGCTAGACAGCGCGGCGCAGCAGGCGGTGCATGGTATCAGCCAGATTCCGCTGGACCGGACCCGCGTCCAGTTATTCGCGGACGACGTCGACGAGGGCCCAGAATTGGCCATCGAGGGGCAGGAGGGGGCGCTAACGCTGCATGGTGCGAACAGTGTCAAACAGCAGCTAGTGGCAGTGCGCGACCGGTCCATCGCGCGACGAGCACGTCGGCTCCAGCGGTTGCCATCGGCGCCCCCCCCCCAGGCGACCCAGCCCATCGTCGTCGACCAGGGGCCTGAGCGAATGCTGGGGGGTGCGAAGGGCGCAGCATCAGCCGCGTGGCTACCAAACAGACGCCGTTGTCCCTGGGTGGAGCCAGATGCAATGCGACAAGCAGCCATGAGTTCCCCCTCGGGCCCGACGACCCGCCCGGGGAACGTCTACCCGAGGCGCGCGGCTATGGTGGGCGGCGACGGGAATTCAAGGGATTGCCAGGGCAGCTTGGTTGGAATCACATGCTTTTCCTAGACGGGCCAAGTGGTGGCACCATGTTGATCGCGCTCCGCGCTGGCATGCGCGGTGCACTGCTGCAGCGAGACGCCCGATGGTGCACCGCGTGCATCTAGCCCGTGGTGAAGCACCCCGAAGAGCAGCGATGGGGCGATCGGCCAAAGACTTCGTGGGGGTCCAAAATCTGCGATCAGGGTCTGACCGGGCATGCCACATGTTTTTTTTTTTTTGGGGGGGGGTTGTCGTTGCGGATTGGCCAACGTGCGACGAGCCGATGCCGCGCGAGGTCCCGCGAGGCAAGCTGCTTCGGCACGGTGCTCCTGTTTGGTGGTTGAAGTTAGTACTTGAACACGGTAATGGCCGCAGATTATATGCCTTGGCAAACGCCATTATGTGCATTGTTTGCTATCTTGCTTCTGATTGCCAGCGGGTGATGCGTTCGCTGGCGTTGCAGTCAAGGCGATACCCGTGGGCGATCTCGTTTTTCTCCCCCATTTCGAGGGCACCTGCGCTTGACGTTTAGAGCCGCGTCGTCGACGCTCGCCTTCGCAGCTCGCTATCGGATCTTGAAGATAGCAAAAGAAAGTTTAGTGGAGGGTGCCAGGCATTTGTTCGAAACATCATCGCGGGGAACAGCTAGCCGTGATCGCGAGGTCGCAGGGTCGCGGTAGATGTGCGTGATCGGCAGGAGTTCAACCGCGGCGTCGTCAAGGCCAGTGTCTCGCATTCGGCGATGGCCCAAAGCCAGAGTGAAGCAGCAATCCAGATTTGCGAACCTGAGGAAAAAAGGACCAGGGACGCGAGAACCATGGGGGAGTGCTATGAGGGCCCCGAGGGAACCGCGTGCCGTATGGTTTTTTCTCGCCAAGGGGTGAGCCTTGCCAGTTTCATCTGAGTCAAGGTCTTGGGGTCCAGTAGTCCCAAGTGGCTATCTCGCCAGCGCCTCATGTCCAGCGCATACTCACCCTCGCATAGTGGGGCGTCTATCAGCTAAGCCTGTTTTGAACGGTGGCAGCAGCGCGAGATTTGCGTTGGCACAGGACGTCCAACGGCGCGCAATGACCTGGATCGCTGCCGCCTGCCCCGAGAATGCCTTCATCCAGTCAGGAGAGCTCGTGCACATTTGGAAACGTGGCAAGCGTAATCGTAGCAAACCGTGGACCCAGACCAGGGGTGCTCATTTCCCGTGCCGTTTTGCACCTGGCCCGTGCAGGCTGGAGTTTCAGCGGGTCCCTCAAAGGGGGTGGTGGTGAGACGACGGTCTCGAAATTTGTGATGCAGACGCCGCCGTCGCTGCTGTAAGATCAGATGGAGCTGGGCGCCCCGCGCCAGCGCGCGTTTATCGCAGCCAGGAGGCCTTCTCCTCCCGGGCTTCAGGGTGTCACTTCACCTTGTCAGGCATTGTGCCGCCCCGAAAGACAAGCATTTTATCATGTACCTATGTACGTACGTGTGTGTAGGTATGTATGTATGTATGCATGTGTGTATGTGTATGTATGTATGCATGCATGCACGTATGTATGCATGCGTGCATGCATGCATGTATGTATGTTTGTACAAGTGTATACATATGCATTCATGTATTTACATATACAAGCTTCTCCACTATTTTCTTAGCAATAGCTGCTGTTGCCTGGGTTTGTGGGCCGCAGATTGAGCCGAGAGGGCGGGGTACTTGCGCCTATGTGTGTGTGTGTGCAGTGAAGAGGGACAAACCATCGCAGTCAAAGCTGACGCCAGCTGTCGCAGGTAGCAGGAACGAGGCATGCGGCCGAAGTCGCGCCTGAGCCCTTGCAGGCCGCGCAAAGCGAACCTGATAACATCGCTGTCACCATGGGAATCTCTGTTCTCTGGGACTGCGACTTGCCCAGGCCGTCGACCTCTACCGAGGTCGACTAATTGGACAAGGATGGAAACCCGATCGATCTAGATCCTGAGCAGATTGCCAGTTTCACCAGCAGCTGCCCTCTTAGGTTGGCCTCGGACGGGGATTGGCAGCAAGCTTTTACTTGGGCCGCCTGAGAGGGCTGTCGTGTCCATCGGCGTGCGCGCAGACGAAGGCGATGACCCTTTCCTTCGAGGCCCGGCTCCACGGACCCTTCCGCGCTGCCATGGCCGAGCACGTAGGGATCGCGGTCTGAGGTCAAGTAGCGAGCAGGCCGGCCGAGTTAGCATCCGATTGCAAGGCCGCCTTCAGAGTTGCCTGGCAGGACATTGCCAGACAGCTCGCCGGCAACTCGAAGGGCCCGATCGTCATTTTGCCATGGCCAAAGCCGCAGTCGACCGACAGGCTCAGGCTGCTCTGGCCGTTGCACCCTGCCGCGGCTCCAGCTCTGTCCAAGATGGGAGCCTCGCCGCCGCCAGAGCTCAGAGCTTCATGAACTCAACTGCGCGCGGTTTGCCACTCTGTCCACGCGAGGTAAGGTGGAAGAGGCCTACTCGCTGTCGAGTTGGCCGCTCAAGGCGGCAACGCAGCTGGGCTTCGGGGAAGCAGGGAGAGTTGGTCCTCTAGTGTGCCAGGTGGCTGGTGGTGGCGGCAGGATTGCTTGATTCGGCGCCTCACGACGGTTGCAAAGGGACCTCGGGTTTCCCAGGTTGGCTGCTTTCGAACCCTCTTGGTCACTCCCTCGCCGCCATGGCGGGATGGCAAGGGCGCCCTCGAGGGCGCGAAGTTATTCGCGCTTCGCGCTTCGCGGTTCGGCTCCGATCCCTCCTCCTCCTCCTCTTCTCCCCTGGGAGGCGTCGCGAGAGCGCGAAGTTATTCGCGCTTCGCGCTTCGCTCAGCACGAAGCGCGAAGTTGGGAGCCCCTGGTTAGGGCAGCTGCCCTCATCGGCGGGCGCAGCCCTTGCCAGAGACGGCTGCTCCCCTGTCTCGGCTGCGCCGAGGCCCGCCGGAGCCCCCAGGGGCCCTTGCCCCCGCGGTTGTGAGGGCGAGCTTTTCGGCCTCAGGGGCCTCCTCCTCCTCGGCCCCCCCTCCCAGGAACAGAGGATGAACGCGTTGGGCGGGGAGTTCGAGTGAAGGAGTGCATTCTGAATTCTCGATCCATGGGGTGGTTCTGCGGTGCTCCAGAGTTTCTTTTTTTGGTGCACCTCTGGAGCCCTGAATTCTATATAAGTTAGCACTGATACACTGATCTTATTTTGTTCTGCTCCCTCCCCTTCCATTCCCTTCCCTTCCGTTCCGTCCCGTTCCCTTCCGTTCCGTTCCGTTCCGTTCCGTTCCCTTCCATTCAATTCCGCTCCGTTCCCTTCCATTCCATTCCATTCCAGTCCATTCAAAACCACACCATACCACACCATACCATACAATTCCATACCATTCCATTCCATCCCATTCCATGTTATCCCATTTTCTCCCATTCCATTCCATTTCATCCTATCCCATCCCGTCCCATTCCATTCCATTCCATTCCATGTCATCCCATTCCATTCCATTCCATTCCATTCCATTCCATTCCATTCCATTCCATTCCATTCCATTCCATTCCATCCCATCCAATCCCATCCCATTCCATTCCATTCCATTCCATTCCATTCCATTCCATTCCATGTCATTCCATGCCATTTCATTCCATTATATTCCATACCATACCGTACCATTCCATTCCATTCCATCCCATCCCGTCCCATCCCATCCCATCCCATCCCGTCCCATCCCATCCCATCCCATCCCATCCCATCCCATCCCATTCCATCCCATCCCATGCCATTCCATTCCATTCCATTCCATGCCATGCCATGCCATGCCATGCCATGCCATGCCATGCCATGCCATGCCATCCCATCCCATCCCATCCCATTCCATTCCATTCCATTCCATTCCATTCCATTCCATTCCATTCCATTCCATTTCATTCCATTCCATTCCATTCCATCCAATTCCATTCCATTCCATTCCATCCCATCCTATCCCATTCCATTCCAATCCATTCCAACCCATTCCATTCTATCCCATCCGATCCCATTCCATTCCATTCCATTCCATTCCATCCCATTCCATGTTATCCCATGTCATTCCATGTCATTCCATTCCGTTCCATTTCGCTCCATTCCATTCCATTCCATTTCAGTCCAGTCCAGTCCATTCCATTCCAGTCCATTCCAGTCCAGTCCGTTCCGTTCCGTTCCGTTCCATTCCATTCCATTCCATTCCATTCCATTCCATTTCATCCCATCCCATCCCATCCCATCCCATCCCATTCCATCCCATCCCATTCCATCCCATCCCATCCCATCCCACCCCATTCCATCCCATCCCATCCCATCCCATCCCATCCCATCCCATCCCATCCCATCCCATCCCATCCCATCCTATCCCATTCCATCCTATCCCATCCCATCCCGTCCCGTCCCGTCCCATTCCATTCCATTCCATTCCCATCCCATCCCATCCCATCCCATCCCATCCCATCCCATCCCATTCCATTCCATTCCATCCCATTCCATTCCATTCCATTCGATTCGATGCCATTTCATTCCATCCCATTCCATCCCATCCCATGCCATTCCATGCCATTCCATTCCATTCCATTCCATTCCATTCATTCCATTCCATTCCATTCATTCCATTCCATTCCATTCCATTCCATTCCGTTCCATTCCATTACATTCCATTCCATTCCATTCCTTCCCATTCCATTCCTTCCCATTCCATTCCAGTCCAGTCCATCCCATCCCATCCCATCCCACCCCATCCCATCCCATCCCATCCCATCCCATCCCATCCCATTCCATTCCATTCCATTCCATTCCATTCCATTTCATTCCATTCCATTCCATTCCATTCCATTCCATTCCATCCCATTCCATTCCATTCCATCCCATTCCATCCCATCCCATTCCATTCCATTCCATTCCATTCTATTCCATTCCATTCCATTCCATTCCATTCCATTCCATTCCATTCCATCCCATCCCATCCCATCCCATCCCATCCCATCCCATCCCATCCCATCCCATCCCATCCCATCCCATCCCATCCCATTCCGTTCCGTTCCATTCCATTCCGTTCCATTCCATTCCATTCCATTCCATTTCATTCCATCCCATCCCATCCCATCCCATCCAATTCCATTCCATCCCATCTCATTCCATTTCATTCCATCCCATCTCATCCCATCCCATCCGATCCCATTCCATTCCATTCCATTCCATTCCATTCAATTCCATTCCATTCCATACCATTCCATTCCATTCCATTCCATTCCATCCCATCCCATCCCATCACATCCCATCTCATCTCATTCTATCCCATCCCATCCTATCCCATCCCATCCCATCCCATCCCATCCCATCCCATCCCATCCCAGTCCTTCCCATTCCGTCCCATGCCATTCCATGTCAATCCATGTCATTCCATGTCATTCCATTCCATTCCATTCCATTCCATTCCATTCCATTCATTCCATTCCATTCCATACCATTCCATTCCATTCCATTCCATTCCATTCCATTTCATTCCATCCCATCCCATCCCATCCCATCACATCCCATCTCATCTCATTCTATCCCATCCCATCCTATCCCATCGTATCCCATCCCATCCCATCCCATCCCATCCCAGTCCTTCCCATTCTGCCCCATGTCATTCCATGTCATTCCATTTCATTCCATTCCATTCCATCCATTCCATTCCATTCCATTCCATTCCATTTCCATTCCCATTCCATTCCATTCCATTCCATTCCATTCCATTCCATTCCATTCCATTCCATTCCATTCCATTCCATTCCATTCCATTCCATTCCATTCCATTCCATTCCATTCCATTCCATTCCATTCCATTCCATTCCATTCCATTCCATTCCATTCCATTCCATTCCATTCCATTCCATTCCTCCCTCTCTTGCATCTCCTTTATTTTTTCATTTTCCCTCTGAGTTTCTCCGTCCCCGCTCCTCCCCCCTCCATCCTCCTTCTCCTGTAAATTGCTCCTCCTTCCTTCTCCTCCTCCTTGTCCTCATCCTCCTTCTCCATCTCCTCGTGCTCCTCGTCCTCCTCCCCTCCTCTTCCTCCTCCTTCTCTTTTTGCCTCTTTTTCCTCTCCCTCCTCCCCCTCCTCCCTCTCCCCCGCTGCCCTTTGTCGTCCTCTTCTTCTTCTACTCCCCCCCGTCTCCTCCGTCTGCTCCTTCTCCTCCTTCTCTCTCTCCTCCCTGTTCGCCCCCTCGTCGTCCTCCTCCAGGTCGTCGTCCCCTCCTCCAGGTCGTCGTCGTCCTCGTCCAGGTCGTCGTCCTCCTCCAGGTCGTAGCCGTCGGAGGGGCCTCGAAGAGGAAGTGTCGGCCCTTGGACATCTGGTATTCAGCAATCCGAACACACTCGAAAACATTCCTCTTAGCTTCCAGAACTTCCCGAAGATGCTTTCCCAAGTCAACTCGTTTTCCGTCCGGGGTCATATTCTGGAGGGCCGTTAGCTTTTCACAGGGAGGCGTCATGATGATCCACTGGGGTTCCTCAATCTCGATTCGAACCCACAAGTCCTTCAGGTCTCCAGGGACCCGGGCATCCCAGCCGTTCACCTTATCGAACGAGCCCATGTCCTTCATGCCGTACTGTGGGGCTACCGGAGCGACCCGTGGTGGTGAGAAAATCTCCATCACGCCTGGAACCTGAACGCTGAGAACCTCCACGTCCTCACTGGCCTCAGGGCGCCGGCCCAGCCCTACTGAAAATGGTCGTCCAGCTTCTCGATCCGCAGCTTCGAGTCGTCCACCGACGTGTCTGGAATCTTCAGATTCTCGAACGTCCTCCCCAGCAGATCGACCTCGAAGTGCCCACTGCCCTCTGCCTCGCGTACAGGTACACTGACGCCGAGACGCTTGAGGTGGAGCTGGTTCTCCGCCATGTCGAGGGTAGACTGTAGCATCTTCATCACGGGCTTGCTGATCAGCAGTCCGGCGGATCCCTCAATCACGTAGCAGAGGATCTTCACCCGCTTGTTCACCTCAGGGAACAACCACTGGATCCAGCAGGCCTCCTGGGACCGTCTCAGCTTGCCATCATAGCTCTTGAACCTGATGCTCTCCACGTCCTTCTCCCATTCAGGCTCGATACCTGTCGCCTCGGTGTGCTTGCTCAGCGTCTCCGTGCCGATTAGGGCCATGCCACACCCTGAGTCCAGCGCTCCACACCCTGGGGCGTGGCACGCGCACACCTCAGCCTCTGGCTCCTCGTCGCTCGCCTCCTCGATCTCGTCCTGATCTGCCTCCTGGTCGTGATCTCGACGCTCACGGGCCAGCCGTCGGAAACGCTTCTCGTTCGTCAGCTTCGTGATCAGCGACGCTTTACCATCCTTCGACCATGACGCCAGCAATATGTCCACCTCGTCCCACATGTCGTCCAGCACGTGGTGGGTCTCCGAGCCGCTCTCATTCACCATGAGCACCTGCACGGCTCCCTGGTTGACTGGCTTGGTCTGATGCGCGCGCTTCATGAAACCCCCTGGTCGTTTCTGGCCTCCAGGTGGTGTCTGCTGTCCCTTTCGGTTGGGGCAATACTTACCGAAATGGCCGACCTGTCTGCACAAGAAGCACCTGTTCCGGTCCGTGAGTCGCTTGTAGTTCTCCTTGGAGGGTAGGCCTCTCTGTAATTTCTCTCTCGTCATTGCTGTTCTCGTCTCCTTCCACGTAGCCAATATGTCGATCGCGTCTTCCTCATCGATGGGGCCGTCGTCTTGCAACAGCTCGTTGATCTCTGCCTCGATGCTGTCCTGGATCGAGGCCGTCTCAGCCTCCGCTGCTGGTGTCCACTGCTCGGGAGGAGGAGGCTCCAGCCACTCGTCGTTCTCCGGAATGGCCTCGTGTACGTTGGCTGTCGGCATCTGCTTCGGGTACGCTGTCCGAATCGCCGCCGACATCGCCGTGAAATCCCACCGGCGCTGGCCCGCAGCCAGCACGACAGCGCGACGCTCCATGCCGAGCCTCGCCCCTCTCAGGAGCAAGAACCCCTGTGCCACTTGTGGCAGCTGAACTCCTGCTTTCCTCGCCTTCGCGATGACGGTACGTGCCCGCCCCGTGTAGGCCGACGAGGTCTCGCCCCGCTCGATGGTGAGCCCGAACACGCTCTCGAGGGCGTCCCCGATCCTGTCGCTGGCTTCCTTGTCCGGAAACCTTTCATCCAGAGCATGAAAAAGGGCCATCTTTCCGTGCTCCTGCTCTAGGTCCGCGAGCTTCAGGTGCTCGCAGGCCTTCTCCGCTTCATCATCCAAGAGCGTCAGCACCAGCGGTCCGACCGCCTCTGGCGGCAGGCCACGCCTGACCTCCACGGCCAGCTTAGCTCCGATCCAGCGCCTCCAGCTCTTGTACTCCGTCGCTGCGTCGTTGCCACTGCCAGACAATCGTCTCCATTGGCCATTTGACTGACCACCCTCGACATTCGTCCTGGCCGCCATCGTTCTTCGCTGGAAAACTCGACTGGCTCAAGATCAATGCGAATCCTGACTTCTTCCTTCCCTGGTTCCGCCCGGAGCCTGCACGATGTAGATCGACTGGTGCCCTGAGACTTTCTCCACGCGCGCGCCCCGGGCACGTGACTCCTGAAAGTCTTCAAAGAGTTGATCTGAAATGGCCGCGGCAGCGGCCATACATACACAAGCAAGCACGCTCTCACTCACTGCATCAGGCAATCCGCTCTGCGTTTCACACCTCCTCCTCCTCCTCCTCCTCCTCCTCCTCCTCCTCTCGGTCTCTTCCCCCCTCGTTGTCCTCCTCCAGGTCGTCGTCGTCCTCCGCCGCCGCCTCCTCTGTCACGCTGCGGCTGCGCCTGCAAGGCCGCGCGCCGCGCCAGCGGGGAGCCGTCATGTCGCCCGCGGCGGGCGCCGCCGAGCCGCCCGGCGGCGGCGAGGGGCTGCTGGAGCACCTGCTGCGCGGGCAGGCGTGCGCGGAGGCTCAGAGGTGGAGGAGGAGGAGGAGGAGGAGGAGGAGGAGGAGGAGGAGGAGGAGGAGGAGGAGGAGGAGGAGGGGCGTTTGGGACTGTGGCTGCGGCGGGTCGGAGGCCCGCTGACGGCCGCCCAAAGCAGCCCCGCGGTGAGCGGCAGGGCTGCGCGTCAGAGGACGCTGACGTCGCGGATGTTAGCGACTATGACAAAGTCCGTCTTTCGCATGTGATTGCAGTAGAGGCACTTCGCAATCCGATGAGGGAGCGGGCTGCTCTCCCCTTTGGGCACCTGAGGTCCGTCTGGGGATCCTTCAGGTACCCTGGGCGTCGGCACGCCCTGTTCCCACCTGTGCAGCTTCATTTCGTCGTGGTTGTAACTCAGCTGGGACATCGGTATGATGTCCTCGTTGTCGCGGAGGCAGTCCGTGCTGTACACGTCGTATGGCCTCCTGCTGGGCTTTCTGCGTGCGAGGATTGGTTGAGAATCCCTCACAACCCCGCCTCAGCTTTCTGGCGGTAGCTGGGTCCTCAGCATCATTTGTGCCAGCACACCGTTGGCAGCAGTAGGTACCCTTTTCGAGGAATACGCCGTGACCAAGTCCAGCGTATGCAGCCAGTAGGTCTGGATCCCCTAACTGTACCATGGATGGCGATGTGTTGGTCGCCCGCAGGTCGCCATTGTAGCCTGGACTGTCGGAAGTGAGCCGCCGCCATGGCCTTCCCGAGGGCAGTGGGACAGCACCGCCTTAGTGACCCAGAACGCAGCGTCGCCAGGCACGCCTTTGTACTTGCCGACGCGTCACACGCACGGCAGCGGAACTTGCCGCTGCTCGTGCAGACCATGAAGTCGTGATCATTTGGGCGACCGAAAACCACAGGTACATCATGATGTGCAAGCGGCCGCAGTAACTCTTGATCTACCCCATAGCGCCTGTACTTCACCACCCTGAGGCATGCATATGACAAGTATTGTAGAACCTGCCGATGCTGCTTCATGGCCTGGGTGAGCGACTCAGCGAATACGTGCGCTACAGTCTGTTGCGCAACACCGAGCCTAGCGAAACAATCCGCCCAGGCATTGCCAAGCCAGTCCTGGACGTCCTGCGCCGAGGCCCCTTCCAGAAGCTGCCCCGCATCACGGTGTGCAGGGGTCCATCGGAATGCAGGAGTGGATCTGCATGTCCGTTTCATTGCAGCAACAAACATGCCCCGCCACACCCGTGCGTGCTTATTTTTCCCCGTAACAAAGGTAGGGTCCCAGGTGTTCCCTTCACTCACAAGGGATTTTAAGTCCGTAACGAACACGGCATGATCAGGGTGTGCCTCCAAATCCATTTTGATGGCATACCTCTCGGCACGTCCAACCGCTTGCACCAGGTAAGATAGCGGGCCATCGACGGCCCGACATGGTAACCAGGTGCGCGGGTCGAGCTGCACGACCGCCTGGCCACATCGTCGGACCTCAGGCAGGCTGGATTCATAGCCTGGCCCGTCAGTGTATGAGATGGGTCCCCATGTCCCATCGCAGTCACCCCACTTGTGCACCGTAGTCCCAATGATGCCGTGGTGTGGTATTCCAGCTGGGGGCTGAGGTGCGCCAAACACCAGGTAGGTTTGGTCGTAGTCTGCTTGACCACCAGCAGAAGCACCACGTCGCAGGTGCTCACGTACCTCAAGTAGGCTATCTGGGATGGTAAAGAAACTGTCAGACTTGGCCAGAGTGGCGTCAGCAGTCTGGCTGCCAATCGCCCTCGGTTCATCACTGTCAATCCGCTCCGCAGGTTCCCTCGCCTCTGTCGGCTGAAAGTCATCGGAGTGCGGATGTTGGTCGTGGTCGAGCTCCTCACCGATATCCATGGTAACAGCCATCTCCTCCACCTCTTCCCCGACCGCTGGGAAGAACTCGTCCTCGTCAGCGGCCCGATGCTGTCGGGGAGTTTGGCAGTGGTCCTGCGGATCCGCAGACGGAGGCGCAGGGGGGAATTTGCGTACAACACCACTCATTCGTACTGAATTTCCCCCGTCTTCTGTGGCGCGGTGGGTTGGTGGCGTAGTATTGCTGCCAGCAAAAGGCAACCTGTCAGTAATCTGCGCCAGGCTGGTCGACGTCACTCCAGCCACAAGTGTACCGAAGGTAGGCTGCCTCCTTCCTTGGATTTTTGCATCCGCGTGCCCTGCTTTGGGTAAACCAGTCTGGTGGTCTATTCCCCGCGGCTCTGGATCCCCCGCCTCTTGCGAAAGGGATTCAATCACACTGTCCTCCTGGGTGTTGTCCGAGAGGAACAGGCTTGGGCAATCTAGCAGTACATGTCCCCAGCATGTGTCCTGAGGCAGCTGCTTCCCACACGCCTGACAGGGGCGCATGGGGCGGCCCAATTTCTGATCACGTCGAATGGGTATAGGAATATTGACCGCCCAGTGAGCCTGGAGGGCTCCAAGGCGTCGGGGCTCAGGAATACCCATGATATGAGGAGGAGGAGGAGGAGGAGGAGGAGGAGGAGGAGGAGGAGGAGGAGGGAGGAGGAGGAGGAGCAGAGGGAAGGAGGAGGAGGAGAGGAGGAGGAGGAGGAGGAGGAGGAGGGTTGAGGAGGAGGGAGGAGGAGGAGGAGAGGAGGGGGAGGAGGCGGGGAGGGCCGGGAGGCGCGGAGGCGGACGAGGAGGGAGGAGGAGGAGGAGGAGGGAGGAGGGAGGAGGGGGGGGACTAGGAGGGAGGGATGGAGGAGGAGGGACGAGGAGGAAAGGGAGAGGAGGAGGGCGGCGGCGGAGGAGGAGAAGGAGGAGAGGACGAGGCGGAGGAGGAGGAGGAGGAGGGAGGAGGAGGAGGAGGAGGAGGAGGAGGAGGCAGGGGAGGAGGAGGAGAGGAGGACGGAAGGAGGAGGAGGAGGAGGAGGAGGGAGAGGGGAGGAGGAGGAGGAGGAGGAGGAGGAGGGGAAGGAGGAGGAGGAGGTAGAGGAGCGCGAGAAAGGCGGGAGGATTACGTAAAGGAGGAAAGGAAAAGGGTACCCCATAAACGCTGAGCCCCCGTGGCCCACGGCTGGATCCGCCCCGGGAGAGGTTATGGGGAGTAGCCGACCATCGGTACCTGTTGGCTTCCCCATATGAGGCGGGGCGGGGCGGGCGGGGGCGCGCGCGCGGCGCGGGCCGGCGGCGGGGGGCGGGGGGGCCCTGCTGGAGGGTGCGCGGCCACTCGGCGGCCGGGTGCCTGCGCGAAGAAGAAAAAAAAAAAAGAAAAGCGAAAAAAGAGCGGGGCCCTTCGCATGAGTGGCCTCGGGTGCGCGCCCTGGGCCTCAAGCGTATGGAGAAGCACCCCATGCCAAGGCGTCTCGTCGTTTTCGGCCTCCAGGGGCCCTCGCCGGGCCCCTGGACCGTCAGTGAACGGCTCGGCGTGCAGAGTCAGCTCTGGGGAGAGGGTCGGGCCTTCGGTGAGCTCGTCTGGAAGAACTGTGTGTAGGAGGGGTACACACCAGAATAGCGCATGCTGCACATGAGCATGACATAGAAGTCTATCCGGTCCTCCTCGGGCATGAGAGAAATAGGTATGGAGTTGTAGAAGTACACGTGGTACAGGATATAAGTGTAGAGGGGGACGAAGGTGTAGGGGGGAGTGGCCGCTGGCAGTGGCGGGAAGAAAGCTGCTTGTAGTGGCTGGCTTGATAAGCGGATCACCGTGTCCGCCCCGCCTAGCCGGTCACGGCCCTGACTGACGGCGGGGGCTCTCACGGCCCCGCCCGGCAGCCAGGATGGCCCGCGGGCCTCTGAAACATGCAACGCGGCCAGTTCTGCCTTCCCCGGTCAGTGTTCGAGAAGGCCGCCAAGGATAACGAATTCGGAGAGGATCCCGCCCCGTGCCAGCAAGATCAGACATACTGCAAGAACGCAAGCACGGGTCCCCCGGCCCCCGTCCCTCCTGCAAAGGCTCTTGCCCGTCTGCCCTGTCGGAACGCCGCTCGTCCGAAGACAGCGGCTCTCCGCGAGCGCCAGGGCGCCACGCCCCGCGGAGCGCGTGACAGAGCCCCTCTGGAAGACCTCCGCGCCCCGGATCTCTGGGGCCACGGGTGGATGCTCGAGTCTGGCGGGCGCTCTCGCCGGCCGTCGGCACTTCTCCGTCCCAGGGATGGGCTTCGGCAGCTGCGCCTCGCCGAGGGCGATCTGTGGGGTGCCCGGATCGCCCGGCACGGCCGCGGGAGGCCCGAGTCACGGCTTCGAAGGCCGCGTGGTTTGCCTGCCAGGGTAGCCTCCGGCGCGGGCCCGCCGAGCATCAGGAGGGGAAGCACAGGCACAATTTTGGTCGTCGGCAACGCATGGGAAGTATGTGGGGGGGGAAGGTGAACATTAAGAACGTAGGACCAAATCTGAGGAGTCCTGGGACTTGTGTGTATGTACCTGTGTGTCCCTGGGCCCCTTCAGAGTACCCCCTCACCGCAGGCGGGCGCACTTGGATTTGCCTCCCTCCCCTGCCCCCCCGCGGCCAAGATGAGGTGTTGCCAGAAGTGTCCCTGGTCCAAGGAGGTGCCCATGGCCTTCAGAGCACCCCTCAAGAGGCTCAGAGGGCCCCAGGGGCTTCAAAATGGAGCGAAACGGTTGATTATCAAAGTCCTGCTCCTTCTTGAGTTGATTTTTGTCAACACGCCCCGCGCCCTATTTAACATTGGCGGGCTGCGCCGCGATGTGTCGATCTGCCGACGGGCCGAAATCCTGCGCCCCGCGCGCTCCGCTGACGATGCCAAGGGAACTGTTGAATCGGGGGCAGGGGGGCGCGTTGAAGTTCGCGCCAGCACTCCAGTCGCCCGGGTGATGCAGGATTTTGCCCATCAGCCGATATTTGGGGGCAACTTGGGTCAAAGGACACCTTTGTCTAGGCCTTCCACATAGGGTCGGAGTAGATGGGTCGGAGGATCGCGCCGCATCGCCGATGCACTGGCGAGGAGGCTCGATGTGGTGCCCGATTTTCTCCACGCCGATGGCGCCGATACACGGCCGGTGTCGCCGATGCATCGGCGATGCATCGGCGATGCGGCGTGTTCCTCCGGACCCATCTATTCGGATCCCATTTGGGAGGCCTCTAAACTTGGGCCAGAGACGATGCAACCAAAGACCACTCAAGCTGTGATTGCGCAGTTGTTTCCCCTGCCTGGCTCTGGGACGTGTCGGATGACTTCTAAATCTGAGCCTCGGCGGCTACGGCTGGCGCAATAAGCATGCATGCCTACACGCCAGCAGCACATCATGCGGCAACGTGCTCGCAATCTTGCGCTGCACTGTTTGGCAACGATGCTTCGGACGATGATCTGGCAACCCCAGACTGGAGGCGCGCGCCAAAGGTCACCTGGGACCCCCTTGCGTGCGCAAAGCCCAGGCGGTCGTGGTCGTGGCCCGGCCCGGGCAGCGGCCCTGGCACGACGCGGGCGCCGCCGAGCGGTATGCCGCGCTGGACCCGGACCTGCCGCCGCACGTGTTCGGCGTCGCCGCCATGGCGTACAAGGATTTCCAGGGGCAGCGAAAGGGGGCACTCGCCCATGGATTGTCGATAGGGGTCGGGTAGCCCCAGCCCGCCGTGGAGCGTGCCGGTTCGCCGTCGGGGGGCCCAGCGGCGACCTCTCGGCGATGTATCGCCGATTCCAGGTCGATGCCTCCCCCCCCCCTCTCGACGAGTATGGAATGCATTGCACATGATCTGGAAGAGAACAATCGCAAGATGCAGGATGGATCACCGACAATGATCGCCAGTGCACTTTCTTGTCCGCCTGAGGCCCACCATCGAACATAAGCGCCTCCTGCCTGGCCAGTGTGGCCCCTTCCGGGGAAACGGACTCGAGCAGTGCTTGAGCCAGTCCCCCCTCTTATGTTGCCCCTCGGATCTGCGCCTGTTGCGCTTCGCCTCTTGCTTACCGCACCGTGGTGGCACGCGGGCCTCACCGTGATCGGGCTTGGAGGCGCCCGATCCCTCGCCACGGCCGCCCTCCTCCTCCTCCTCCTCCTCCTCCTCCTCCTCATTCCCCTCCTCCTTCTCATTTCCCTCCTCCTCCTCCACCTCCTCCTCCTCCTCCTCCTCCCCCTCCTCCTCCTCCTCCTCCTCCTCCTCCCCCTGCCAAGACTGTGCTGGACAACGACGCACCGGTCGGGGATCCAGACCCCGTTAGAGAAGCCGGCGGGTTCGTCTGTAGGAGGATGCGCGGGCCGCCCGCAGGGACAGTCTCCAGGCAGGTTCCGGATTGCTCGTCAGGACGAGGAAGAAAAACGGAGGAAAGGAAAGGGAGGAGGAGGAAGGAAGGAGGGGCAGGCGCGAGAGAGGTAGGAGGAGGGAGGATAGGTTAGTAAGGAGGAGGAGATAGGAGTTTGAGGGGGAGGAGGAGGAGGAGGAATTTTTTCACAACCCTCCTTGGTTGGGTACTCGTTTTGAATAGAGCACTGCGGTCGCGTCTTCCCTTCTCCTCCTTCCCGTCCCCCTCCTCTCCTCCCTTCTCCTCCTCCTCCTCTTTTCTCTTGCATCCCTTCTCCTCTCTTCGCTCCTCCTCTTCTCTGTTGCTTCCCTTCACCTCTCAACTTCGGCCCTCCTCTTCTCTCTTGCCTTTTGCGTCGCTTGCCCCTCGCCATCCCTGGTGGGCTGCGATCTGTGAAACTGTCGCCACTTTCGAGTGCTGCTGGGGGGTCCAGCGGAGTTGTGACGTCTTACGGAGACTCAGATTAGACCTCGCCATCGCTGGGGGGCTGCGATCTGTGAAACTGTCGCCACTTTCGAGGTCTGCTGGGGGGCCCAGCGGAGTGACGTCTTACGGGGACTCAGATTAGACCTCGCCATCCCTGGGGGGCTGCGATCTGTGAAACTGTCGCCACTTTCGAGGGCTGCTGGGGGGCCCAGCACAGTGACGTCTTACGGGGACTCAGACTAGACCTCGCCATCCTTGGGGGGCTGCGATCTGTGAAACTGTCGCCACTTTCGAGGGCTGCTGGGGGGCCCAGCACAGTGACGTCTTACGGGGACTCAGATTAGACCTCGCCATCGCTGTGGGGCTGCGATCCGTGAAACTGTCGCCACTTTCGAGGGCTGCTGGGGGGCCCAGCACAGTGACGTCTTACGGGGACTCATATTAGACCTCGTCATCCCTGGGGGGCTGCGATCTGTGAAACTGTCGCCACTTTCGAGGGCTGCTGGGGGGCCCAGCACAGTGACGTCTTACGGGGACTCAGATTAGACCTCGCCATCGCTGGGGGGCTGCGATCCGTGAAACTGTCGCCAATTTCGAGGGCTGCTGCGGGGGGCAGCGGTTACGGGGACTCGGATTAGACTTCGCCATTTGTGGGGGCTGCGATCTGTGAAACTGTCGCCACTTTCGAGGGCTGCTGGTGGGTCCAGCGGAGTGAGGCACCACGGGGACTCAGATTAGACCTCGCCATCTCTGGGGTGGCTGCGATCCGTGAACTGTCGCCGCTTTGAGGGGGCTGCTGGGGGCACAGCACCCCAGCACAGTGGGTACCCACCGCAGACTCAAATTAGACCTCGCCATCCCTGGGGGGCTGCGATCTTTGAAACTGTCGCCACGTTCGAGGGCTGCTGAGGGGCACAGCACAGTGGGCACCCACCGCAGACTCAAATTAGACGCCGCGTTCGTCCTTGTTCTCCTCCTGCAGTCACCTTCCCTCTGCTGCTGCCGTGCTGATGGTTCGGCTTCCCGCACGTTTTTCTCCTGCTCTGCGTTCCCGACTCCCCATGTCCTCTTCGAGCCTGTAGCTGTCGCCCCTCGTTCTTGTATGGTTCTCCTGCGCATCATGCCATAGGCGCGTGTCCCAAGTAGCTTACACATCAAGTTGATTGTCCATGCAAGTTTCGGCCAACCCCTCGTTTCCATTGGTACAAATGGGTTGGGTACGTCACAGGGTAATTTTGCCATCAACGGCTACCAACTGCCCACGTACACCCTGGGGGGCGGGCGATTCCACCCCAGGGGAAAGAAATGAAACTAACAACAAATGGGCGGAGAGCACAGGGTCAGAGCCTATTCTGAACCATGGCTCGCACCAGGCGCAGCCGAACCGACGGAGGCCGCGAGAAACAGAGCAGCATCCTCCTCTTCATCATCTAGCCTGCGGATCTCCAGCTGGGCCTGGTCCCCAGGCTCGACCTGGCACTCTGGCTCTGTGCAACCGACGGTCACCCTCCACCTCCAGACGAGCACGAAGGCGCCCCTCAGAGCGCTGGCCCCCAAGTTCCACCTGGCACCTTGGCACAGGGGGGGGCGCAACAGCATGCGCCTGAAGCGCATACATCGGGCATAAAGTGTCCACGTCTATTGTAACCCCATGCTTCTTGACCGAAGGGTGGAGCCCTCGTTGGAGTTTGGACCACGGGTTCATGTGCGTAGCGACCTTCTGAGGCTCACACTTGCCAAGGTTGGCAAGCCGAGCGCCAGAGGTCATATAGCTGCATCTTTGGCATATGCACAAGAAAGACCCGTCGGAACAGTCGACTACAATACAACGGTGGCCGAGGGCTCGCAAAGCCTCAGGCTGCACTCGTAAGGACTGGGAGCAGGCTCCACCCACAGGGGGTGAACTTGGCTTGCCTCGACGCCCGCGCAAACACTCGCAGCACTGCCAACAAGAGCCTACCCATCACCACTTATGCGGCCCGCATGACGAGACACGGCACAGTCATACATGTTCCAAGGTACGCGCGGATCTCTCGAGCCGGTGCTGGCCGTAGACGCGCCAACGACGAGATGCGCCAGCGGCGGTGTAGGTTTCGGCGTTGTAGGTGGGACTGCTCTGTGGCCAGGCTTTTTGTGGGACAGCGTGGTTCGTGTTTTCCCACTCCTTGCTGTGTCGCTTTTGCTCGACGCACTCGCGTATCGGAAATGTAGGCAAGTGTGGCTCGTGATTTCCTGCGATTGGTTCTGCGCGAGTTCGGCATCGCAAAGTGCAGAATCCCAACATCACCATTCACCAACACCGCCGTTAGCTCGGCCTTGGACTGGGCGCCCCTTGCGGTGCCTCCGTCGCCACCCCAGGCGCGCTTCAGGGGGTGGAGTGGGTGGCGCCTGTCAGGGCTTCCGTCGACATCTCTGATTCGTTTCGTGGCGATTTCGATCGATTCTGACTCTGATTCGATTCGACTTCGGATTCCGATTTGGAGTTCGGTTTTCCAATGGAGGCTTTATTAGCATGCCGATTTCCGACGATTCGTCTTCTTCCGAGTTGGCTGCCGATTTCCGTTGATCTGACCTATTTCGATCGCCTATCCGACTCATCGATTCGATTCTGGGTGTCCCTATCTGTTCAAGAAATCCGCGCGGACCAACCAGCTGCTGTTTGCGCCGCTTTTTCGTCTTCCAAGGGGTCGATTCGGACGAACAGGTGTGTGAGGGAAAAGGGGGGGTACGGTGGGGCCCATGCACAGAAACACCCTGCTTGCCTCCAGGGTGCCCTGGGTTTCTTGGGTTTCGATGGTTTTGCGATGGCAAGCGCGACGTTCCTTCACCAAAAATCAATGGACGTCCTGGTGTCTCAGGTCTGGGTTTCTTGTGGACGGTTTCTTGTGGTCGGGCCCCTACTGTACGAAAACTGCTGCATGACGTCGGTTTCGGCCTCGCCGCTCCGGGCTCTTCTCGGCGCAGGGGCGCTTCTGGCGACAAAAGGCGCGGGACCTGCTGGCTGCGCGAGCCGTTTCGCCAACAGCCTGGCGCAAGGCCAGAGGTGTTTCGCCACACGGGCTGTCTCTCTCTCTCTCTCTCTCTCTCTCTCTCTCTCTCTCAGGAGCGAAAGAAGGACGTACACGTACATGAGTCCACGCTGGTTTCGAGAGTTCTCATTGCGCGAATGTTCGTATCACGCGGCCGGTCTCGCGGGTCAATGGGGCCGTGTTCATATACATAGCTGGGCGCGTACGTCCTTTGTGGGCTCCCTGCTCTCTCCGTGGCGTCTGCCAATCTGTCTTTTCTCCATGCCGCGGCCCCGGGAGCTCCCTCCTCCTCCTCCTCCTCCTCCTCCTCCTCCTCCTCCTCCTCCTCCTCCTCCTCCTCCCTCCTCCTCCCTCCTCCTCCTCCTCCTCCTCCTCCTCCTCCTCCTCCGACCTGTCCTCCCCGGGGCCAGCTCCTCGCTCCCCGACGTCGAGCCCCCTTGGCGGCCGGGGCCCGGGTCGCGGGCCCCGGAAGGCCGAGGCGACAGGGGGCCGAGGTCCGAGCCCAGTCCTTCCCCTCCCCCCTCCTCCTTCCCTCCCCCTTCACTCTCCCCTCCTCCTCCTCCTCCCTCCCTCCCTCCCTCCCTCCCTCCCTCCCTCCCTCCCTCCCTCCCTCCCCTTCCCTCCCTCCCTCCCTTCCCTCGTGCCGTCCCCCGCCCCATCTCGCCCGCCCCGAAGAGGAGCTCTGCGACGCGGGCCGGCCGCAGGTCCTGGTCGCCATGGGGCGCGAGGGCTCCGGGAAGGCGTGCGCCTGCGGCCAGGCCGTCTCGTTCCTGGCCGCCGTGGCGTCGCCCGAGGAGCACCTGGAGAAGAGGCTCCGCCGCCAGAGTTTGTCCATACCGCCGCCTCGGAGTCGTGCCCTGCGGTCTCGAGGAGCGGTAGTTGCGGGTGGAGGAACAAACACTAACATGAACACGAAGTCTTGTGGAGGTCCGCGCGGATTGCTCTGATCGGCGTTGGACCCCCCTGGCAGCGCCTCGGGCGCCGCACCTGGCGCGCTCCGCGCGCCAGGGAGGGGGGCCCAGCGCCGATCCAAGAGATCAGCGCGGACCTCTGACAGTTGATGTTCACGTGATTGTCTGCTCCTCTAGTTGATCTCTGCTCGTCGGCACGGGCGACCGAGTCTCTGGGACACACTCGCGCGGCAGTCTTACGAGGTGAATCCCGGAGGGCGCGCGCGGCAACCCGGGACCCAGCTTAGATCGATCCGTGTCGGATTTGCGTCGGGTTCGCGTCGGACTGCGTCGGATTCGCGGCGGCTTCCCGCTGGATTCACATCGGATTCGCGTCGGATCAAGTCGCACACGGCCCCGCGGTAGCGGATGCGGGCACCTCCTGGCGACGCAGAGGCTGCGGGCGCTGTGGCCGCTGCTAGAGCCCTTCCTGGCCGTGCAGCACGAGCCCGGCCGCCCGCCGGGTGGCGTGTCAGGCCCGGCGGCGCGCATGGAGGAGGAGGAGGAGGAGGAGGAGGAGGAGGAGGAGGAGGAGGAGGAGGAGGAGGAGGAGGAGGAGGAGGAGGAGGAGGAGAGGAGGAGGAGGAGGGAGGAGGAGAGAGAGGAGGAGGAGAAGGAGGAGGAGGAGGAGGAGGAGGAGGAGGAGAATGATCAGTCGGCCACGCGCAAAGGGGGGTAGGGGGAAGGGGGAAGGCTTCTTAGACGCCCCTGGTTCTTAGAAGCGGCGGGCCTTGCTTGTAGATGTCAGGCCCGCGCCTTCTAAGAAGCAGCCTCCTTCTAAGAAGCCTTCCCCCCTCCCCCTACCCCCTTGTGCGCCCCGCCGGATTAGTTTGCGGGCCAGATGCCCTCCACCAGGAGGGTGTCTAGCAGCGGCGCCATTGGACACGTAGAAGGATGTGTGCGGACGGCGGGGTTCTCCAGCAGGAGTCTCGGCACCTGTGCGTTCGGCGCGTGCTTTCACATCTTCAAGGCCACGGACGGGGCCGCAAGCGAGGGACCTGCCGAGTTCTTTACCCGCTAAGCCTGCGTGCGCGGAGGGGAGTGGCCCAACATGCGCCTGGCGGGTGCGCGCGTGGGGCACGTGTCTTCACGTGTCCACGGGGCCCCTGGGGGACCCAACTCTGGGGTGGCGAAACCGTTCCACTTGGAATTGCGTGCGCGAGGGGGGGTCCAACGGAGTGGCGTCCCAACATGCGCCTGGCGCGTGCGGGCGGAGCACGTGTTTCCATGCGTCTCGGGCCACGACGGGGCCGCAAGCGAGGGACCCAACATGCAGGTGCCGATTTCTTTACCCGCGTGCGTGCGCGGAGGAGGGGCCCAACATGCCCCTGGCGCGTGCGCGCGGGGGGGGGGCGTGTTTTCACGTGTCCACGGGGCCCCAGGCTCTGCATTGCTTCGTGCCACATAGATTGCACCGTATGGAGTGTACCACGAAGATTGCACCACATTGATTGCACCACCCACACTGCCCTTCACTGATTGCACGAAATCACTGTTTGGGGTCCGCGCTGTTCACGATGAGCTGCAAACGGCATTCAAACTCTGGAACAGAGCCCTGGGAGCTGCACCACCACGAGAAGGGCGGGGCGGCGGTCCTGGCTCCGCGAGTGGTGACCTCGAAGGCCAATGATGCCTGGAGCCTCGATCTTGCTGGAGTCCCCCCACGCTTCTGGCAGCCGCCGCCGGTTATACCCACGCCGTCCTCGGGCGGCCCCACCCTGAAGTCCCTCCTCGACCCTCGAGTACCAAACGGAACACGATTTTCTCCATATCCTAAAGATGGGGTTCTTGTAGTGACTTTCATCGCGCCGAGTACCAACACCCACCTCCTCCTCCTCCTCCTCCTCCTCCTCCTCCTCCTCCTCCTCCTCACTACTCAGTGCCACCCAGAGTCACACTCAGGAGTCACTACTCAGGTGATGGTGATGCTGATGATGATGGTGGTGATGATGATGACGATGATGATGCTGATGATGCCGACGACGACGTTGATGATGATGATGCTGATGATGTTGATGATGATGATGATCATGATGATGGTGATGCTGATGCTGACCATGGTGGTGATGATGATGATGGTCACATTGATTATGATGCTGCTGACGATTATGACACTGATCTGATGATAATGAGGTTGTTGTAATTGATGCTGATGCGTATGGTGCTGATGCCCATGATCATGCTGATGATGATGTTGATGCTGATGGTGACGATGGTGGTGGTGGTGATGATGTTGATGATGTTGATGGTGATGAGGATGACGACGTCGATGATGATGCTGATACTGATGCTGATGATGATGCTGATGCTGATGATGCTGATGATGCTGATGATGCTGATGAAGATGCTGATGACGATGTTGATGCTGGTAATGATGATGTCTATTCTGATTAGTCTTATTATTGATATGCTTGGTTATACTGATATTCTTCTTACTGTGACGATGATGGTGATGCTGATGATGCTGTTGTTGTTGAGGGTGATGCAGATGCAGCTGATGATGCTGACGATGCTGATGATGATTATGATGTTGACGATGCTGATGATGCTGATGATGCTGATGCTGATGATGATGATGTTGCTGCTGCTGCTGATGATGATGATGAGGCTGGGCTTGCTTGTAGGTTCGGGCACTCCCGACGGCGTCTGACCACACACGCGGCACGGCGTGCGCCAGTATACATTGCCCCTGTTTTCGCACCTCTTGTTAGGACATGCCCAGTGAGAGAAGCCGTCCGTGCCGTGTGTCGACAGGGCAGCAAGAACGGAAGATGCGGTACCGATGCGTGGTGCGTGCACCTGAACAGTGCGAAAGCTGGCAGGGCCGCGAACTCCCATCCTCGTCATGCAGCGCCGCGACGCACAGCCTGAGGAGAACCAGCGGCATAACCTCCACGTCGGACGCCCGGGGTACTTGAGGTACTTGAGGTACTGCTCAGCGTGCCTTCCTAAGCGTGCCTTCAGCGTGTCTTCTTACTACTGCGCAGAGCTCCGCGTCGGACCTCCGCGTGCCAGAATGCTTGAGGTACTGCTCAGCCAGCTGTGCGCGCTCCATGCGCTCGACAGCGGGCTCCGCAGCAGGAGAGGGAGCGCCGATGACGCGGCGGCGGGCCTACCGCCGTCGGCCCACTCGTCGTCGGGCAGCTTCGACGCCGTCTCTATGGCGGCCGCACCAGCCGCAACAACCATCCCCACGTCCCGCACGGGCGCCAGCTCCTCCTCCTCCTCCTCCTCCTCCTCCTCCTCCTCCTCCTCCCTAAAGCTCCCTCCCTCACTCCCTCCCTCTCTCAGGGGGGGGAGGAGGAGGAGGAGGAGGAGGAGGAGGAGGAGGAGGAGGAGGGGAGGAGGAGGAGGAGGAAGAGGGAGGAGGAGGAGGAGGAGGAGGAGGAGGAGGAGGAGGAGGAGAAGAGGAGGAGGAGGAGGAGAGGAGGAGGAGGAGGAGGAGGAGGAGGAGGAGGAGGAGGAGGAGGAGCAGGTCCCGCACCATGTCGGCCTCGCCGACAGCCACCACGTGCGCCTGCTTGAGCTCGAGGCCCGCGCGAACATCCCCAGCGGCCGCACCAGCGCCAGCCCCTTTGCAGCGGTCGGCGCCTCCTCGGCCTTCGAGTCGACGTCCATCTTGGCAGCCGCACGCCGCGCCTCACGTTGCTGGCGACGGCGCCGCCGCCGCGCAGCCCACACCGCGGGGTCCGCGTCTCCGTCAGG